ATGTCCGGGGCATCCTCTTGGGAGTCGGTTTAAGCCGAGGCATCCTCTTTGTCGTTGGCTTAAGCCGAGGCATCCTCTTAGCTGCCGGCTTGCTCTGTGGACCCAGGGCCTTCGAAGAGGAGGAGGAAGGCTCGGATCCACGGCTTCCTTCTGAGGTCTCTGGGGCGGCCAGGTCATCACTGTCTTCAGCTCGCACTCCAGCTCGCTCTTCAGCTCGGTCCGGGCTCGGCTGTGAGGAGGGCTTGCTGTCAGCTTGTGGCAGCCCCGGAGTCCTGGGTCTTGTTCGAAGGGAGCGGGCGATGGCCTGCGAGAAGACTGTGACCGGAGGCGGCACCCGTTGCCATCTCGCTCTTTGGATCGCCTTTTTGTTGGCCTGCTGCTTGACGCTGGGAGGGCGACGCGGCCCACCTTGGCGCGCTCTGTGTGTGCGCAGCAGCCATTTGGGATTAATCGGGATGACCGGGGCCATGCTACACAGTGCCAGACGCAGGGGGCACTGGAGCCAGGGCTACTAGGTCTAGGCAAACTTATGTTACCTACGGCAGTACATTGGAGGTCCTGCGGAGAGTTGTCGGCACTCGTCGCAAGGGAAGAGAGTCTTGGCAGTCTTCGAGTCACCCGCGCTGTCATGCATGTATATTGCAGTATGTAATGATGATGCAAGCGCTTGAGCCAGCATGGGTGAGATGCGATTCGCACCGACACTAGTGCCTGCACAGCCGGGCGGTGCACAAAGCAGGGTGGAGGCCGAGGTCGCTGCATATCTGGTGCAGGGCTGTGGTCTGCTGCTCCGGAGGGTGGGGAGGACCTGGCAGGGGTACCTGTGCACAGGTGTAGGTCGGTGCCAATGCGGGGCACAGGTTCCAGCACTGGTGGAGCAGAGACAGGCTGCCCGAGCTTGGTTGGCGCACTGGGCATTGTGAGAGGTTCCAGCCTGCAGTGTCAGCACTCCCGGCAGGGAGGTCAGTCGGGCCATTGCAGCAGTAAGGTTCCGGCTGAATGGGATGGCTCCAGCGGCGCCGGCCTGAGAGTGGGAGCAGGGGTGGCAGAACCCTTGACCGGACCCCTTAGGTAGCATGGACAGCTTCGGCTGTAGCAGATTACGCACGAGGCATCTTCTGGCGGAGGCTCGATTGTTTTGAGGCTGTTGCATCGCGGCGTCCGAGTGAACCGGAAGAAGGGCAGATCCAGGCGTCGTGCAGAAGTGCCAATGCCTATGGGGCACAGGGTCGGATGTGGATCGTGATGGTCCAGCCTGTAGATCCTGGCACCCAGCCGGCCGCTCGCACAGGGCGAGGCCTCGGCACGGGTGGTGCTCCAGCAGGTCCTCCTCCTCCTGTGGGGCTGCCTGCAGGTCCTCCATGGTGGGGCCCAGCTGGGGTAGGCGGAGGCGGTCCATGTGCTGCTCCATGTGGTCCAGGTGCAGGTGGCCGAGATGCTGTAGGCGAGGGGGTCGGCGTGGTGTCACCTCCTGGTGGGGCCATCGTGGGAGGCCGCGCTGCTGACGCTGCTGGAAGTGGTAGCGGGGGTGGCAGCATGGGATGCGAGGTGGTCGCCGCAACGGCCGCAGGTGATGCAGTGTCCGCCGTCGATCCTGTGGTAGTCGGCCTTGGAAGAGGAGTGGTCGATCTGGCTCTCGATCTGTCCCGCGGGAGATTGACCGGAGTGGGAGGTGGAGGTCCTCGGGGAGTCGACCCTGTTGCCGCCGAAGGCAGGCTTGACGGCTCCGCCGGACTGCTGGCCTCGCTGGAGCTCTCACTGGAGCTCTCCTCTTCTTCTGGAGCCGCCTTGGACTTCGCCTTCGCAAGACCTTTGCCCCGTCCTCGAGCTCGGGTGGCCAGAGCAGCGGATCCTGCCGCCGCACCCCGTCGCGGTGTGCGATCCTTGTCCCGAGGTGCCATGTGCCAGGGCAGGCTTCGCAGAGGCTTCTAGGGGGTCCCTGACAGTCTTGGGCCACCACTACGGTTTGCAGACCATGTTGTGTACAGCATACCATGGAGGTGCAGTACTCAGCAGGGCTCAGGCCGAGGCTGGCGGTGCCCGGGATTGCGACCGCGGACAGTGGCCGCGACGGATGCCCTGTAGGACAGGGCCCAGGAGGCTGGGCTGGTGGAGAGAATCGCGGCAGGTGGTGCCGACACGCTACTCTGGCTTTGGATGATTTTCGGCGGGTCAGCGCAGGCAGTGTCATGGCTGGAGAATCTTCGCGCAGCTGAGAGTAAGACCAGCAGCCGTTGGCTTTCCTTGGGGCAGGCGTGGCATATAAAACAGGTCGAGCTTGCCGAACATGAGTGGTACTGGGGCACCGACAGTCTTGGGCAGGGCTGGTAGTAGACTGCGAGGAGGAGGAGTGCGGACTTTTAGGTCTCGCGGGAGACTGGAGGAGTCGGGTGATGAGTTCACCCGCCTGCAGAGGACTGCCCTTGGTTCCAGAGGCAGGTGGTGCCCGGGGCTCACGGGAGCGATCAGCCTGAGAGGGTCTGGCTGGCGCCGGTTCAGAGTCCGTGTAGTAGGAGTAGCTGTCCTCATCCTGTTGTTTACCTTGGTCGGCTCGCCATTGCTTGCGCAGTATCCGCGGCATAGGTGGAGGTCCTGGGATTTTGGGTCGCGGTCTTGGTCTTGTGGGCGTCCTAGCAGGTCTGCAGGATGAAGGAGTCTTGTTCCCAGGGGGGTTCTCCAGTTTCCTTGGTGTACTGCTAGGCGAAGTAGGCTTCCGCGGCTTCTTGGGCGGTGACGGTGTGCCTCGAGGCCGTGCTTGTTTGGAAAGTGGTCTGGGCGAAGCACCTCGGGAGTCGACTCGGCAAGGCTCGGCGCTGCGTGATCTCCGCGGTCGTGAGGTAGCTCTGGTCCTGGGATCAGGGAAGATAGAAGGAGATCTTGGGCGAGAGCGGCTGATGGACCTGAGTCGCAGTGTTCCAGAAGACCGGGTGGTACGCGTCTCGTCCAGTTGCTCCCGGATGAGCTCCTCATGTATGCGCTGCATCCAGCCTGCCGATCTGTGGTAGTAAGCCTCTGCATAGATCGTGCGGGGCGGAGGCACTGCTTCTCTAGGATGTCGGGCTGCTCTGATGTCCTGGGTGTATAGGCGATTGAGCCTGCCAGGGCGGGACTGGTCTCGCCTGCGTTTGCCATCCGAGCGCGGCATGGTCGATGAGGTCCTAGGTGCACTGGCAAGGCAGAGCCTGGTGTGGCCGGCAGTTTGAGAGGCAGCCAGCTGCGGCAGAGGTGGGATGAGCCAGGGTAGAGGAGCGGTGCAGACCTCCAGTAGAGACGAGGGCAGTTGGCGCCTGGGCTGTGGAGTCGGCCTGGGCTGTGTAAGCAGGTGGTCTGGAGTAACCTGCAGGGGCGAGTCTGTGCTTTCATTGCAACTAAGGACAGTCGTGGCGAACGGCGTCCGTAGGGTCTTGTGATGGCTTTGAGGCACCGACTCGGCAGGTGCAGTGTCCCTGTCAGCAAGTTGGAAGACAGCATCAGCGGCACATGTGTATGATGTGGGCTGGTCCGAGGGACAGACCACCGCAGGCGAGGACTCCTCTAGCCTGGGTGCACGGGCAGAGGTGAAGAGACTCCGGCAGGCACAGGCTTCTGCGCAGGCGTCGGGCTGAAATGTCCTTCCGGTGGAGGTACCTGGGCCAAGGCAGAGGTGGGGCAGGCAGGAGTGGGGTCCAAGGAGGATAGGAACACATCTGAAGGACGTGAGCCACGGGGGTCCTTTTCCTGTTGCAGCCTCGGGGTCGGTACTGCGGTTCCAGGTCGCTTGGTAATGGCGGCACTCAGCAGGGCTTGTCTTGAGGCGATTGCGGACCTGAGGCCTGGGTGGAAGTCGTCGGTCCTGTAGGGGAACGAGATCTCGAGCGGGCGCGTATTGGAAGAGTGGAGCCGGCAGACATAGCTGGCCCGGGAGTTCTTGCCAGTGAGGCAAGGGTCCGCTCTGCTTCCTCCGCTGCTGCCAGGAGGTCCGCCGTGTCAATGGAGTCTGGGGATCCTGGTTGGGCCAGAGATGACTGAGGCTCCCTGAGCTCGGTCGTGGTCTGTAGAGGACCAGGACGTGTAGCCAAAGTTGTGCCGATGGAGTGCCAGTTGTTGGTGTTCCAGACCTGATTATGCAGACCAGCTCGATATCGCTCTCTGACAATGGTGCTGTCCAAGGTCTGATGTAGGCTGGCCAACGCCGCTGTGAGGTCAGCGTGTTCTGTAGGTGGAGGCGATCCAGCCGCCGCTGACGGGACACCTGATGGCGTTTGCGACATGGTACAGCAGGGCCGTGTGGGATTATAGAGACCCAGCAAGAGCTAGACAACAGCTTGAGCCTGCAGGTGTAGGCAGGAGAACCAGCAGACAGGAGGCATGGAATGGTCTGGCTGCTCAAGCTTGTGCAATGTCTCTGTGCAGGCTGGGGCTCGTGCCTCGCGCGCCAGTGCACACCGATCGGGGGCGTAAGTTTGGACCCAGCGGCTTTCAGATAGAGGAAGTGGGGATTGGAAAGGGGAAGTAAGGCCAGGAGGAGGAGGAGGTATGGGTGCACCATCCTGCGGCCTACTTCTACGCGCACGTACACACACACTACGTTTCGTCGTTCGAGCCCAGGTGCTTAGTAGTAGTAGTAGTAGTAGTAGTAGTAATAGTAGTAGTAGTAGTAGTAGTAGTAGTAGTAGTAGTAGTAGTAGTAGTAGTAGTACTAGTAGTAGTAGTAGTAGTAGAAGAAGTAGTAGTAGTAGTAGCAGTAGTAGTAGTAGTAGTAGCAGTAGTAGTAGTAGTAGTAGTGGTAGTAGTAGTAGTAGTAGTAGTGGTGGTGGTGGTGGTAGTGGTAGTGGTAGTGGTAGTGGTAGTGGTAGTGGTAGTGGCAGTGGTAGTGGTAGTGGTAGTGGTAGTGGTACTGGTACTGGTACTGGTACTGGTAGTGGTAGTGGTAGTGGTAGTGGTAGTCGTAATTGTAATAGTACTAGGACGCTCCCCTTTTCGCAGGCTTTGATCCGAAGTGAGGTTAATCCCGACGTGTCCTCGGCAGCACGAAACAAGGCAGCCTGGGTCTTCAAGCGAAGGTTGTCCAAGTCTTCCTGAGGGACAAAACGATGACCAGGGTGCTGAAGAGCCCTGCAGCCCCGTGAAACCCTATAAAGGCCTGATACGCAACCCGATAGAGCCATGATAGAACTGTTACACTGTTATACTTCACCCCGCCTCTTCCGTCTTCATGTGTGCTACCTCCTGGGAGTCGGTGATGTCTTCCAGCTCTTTCGCAATGGGTGGCAGCTCCGGCGCCTTTTGTCGAAGATCTGCGAAAACTTTACATGGCCTTTACATGTGCGCAGCTGAACATCAAGGTGGCATTCGTCTTCAGATGCAGCCCCCGTTACAGCACAATCGAATTCTGAGTCGACGCTTCTTCCTGCTTCCATGTCAAGGATGTGGCGATGCTCAACAGCAAACCCCGAGGCGGAAAGGTTCTCGGCCGACCTGAACCTGCCAAGTCCTTGAAGCCCTCAAGCAGTCTTTACGCATGTCATTTTGCCCAGGTTTCTGGCCTGCTGTCACACCTACGGTAGAATGCTTACAATACTCTGCTTACCCTTGGGACGGCAGGTTGCAATGATGCCAGTGCTGGTGCACCGTCTCTGGCTCTTCCTGCCTCTTGAGAATGGCTCAGGGTGTTCTCGAGGCTGCCATCCTCAGCCGCCTGAAACATTCGCCGAGTAGGGCTAAAGTGCCCCCGCTGGTGCCGGAGTTCACCAAGCGAACAGGCGTTGGGCTCAGGACAGGGTGCCTTTGAAAGGAAATTAGGTCTGCCGTGCAATCTAATCTGATCTGCAAACACATTGCGGCATGGGTATGACGGGGCTTGGATGAACTGCGGTCTCAATGCTCGACCTCTGAGAGCTCCAATCGAAAGACGTAAACCAGGCGGACACAAAACTTCCACGTGCAACTCGCTCTTAATCCTCCTCCTCCTCCTCCTCCTCCTCCTCCCGACAGCGAGGAATGCCAGTACTAATCATAACAATAGTAATCATACGCATAATACTATAATTCTAAAACAATAACAATAACAATGACAATATCAAGAAAACTATTAATGCCAATATCTGCTACAATAAATAATTTACTAGCAATCATGTAGCAATATTAAACTAATTCGACAATAGCCATAGTACTAGTACTATTATGATAACAATACTAAGAATAAAAATGAAAACATTCATGATATGAGTAACCGTAGTAGTACTGCTACTCATAATGAATGAAACTACGAACAAGAACAACAGTCATGGTCCCAATGATCTCAGTAATACCAATACTATCAACAAAGACTAAGCAGGACCCCAAATGCATCCGCTCTACAACAGCACAAACCCTCGTCCAAGGCCAAGGACGAAAAACACATGTGCTCGCTTGCCCCAACTCTGTGCCTTGCTCCCCAAGACTTCCTGCAAGGATCCATCCTGGAGTCAAAACATGCTGTTGGGGTCTTGGGCAGGCCTTGGGGCACTTGGGACTTCAGGCTGTTCTCAAGAAGTTGATGTGACGTTGATGTGTATGGATAGGTAGGTAGCTAGCTGGGTCGTTCGTGGGTTAGGTAGCACGTTGGCGAGCTATGTGTTTGGTTTAGTTTAGTCTGTGGCAGCTTTGTTCAATGTAGTTTAGGTAGTTGTTAACTGTTACCCGAAACGAATGACGGTTTCACCGGTTTGCTATGGAGGATGCTGTCTTCCACGTACCACTCATACAAAGCAATATTCTCGGCTTCATCAGCACGGCAACTCTGAGCTCCAAGCCGCGTGCTATTCAGCGTGTTATGTAGGAACCCGACCGTGCCTGCTCGCTTCGTTCTGGTTGATACAGCTGCAGTTCGCAAATCGCGCTTCGCATTAGCATTGCAGCTAAGACCCGCCGAGGCGGGGATTACCTCAGGTACCCTCCACCTAATCCTCCTCAAAGTTTGGAGACACCCTGTTTTTGCATTCGTTTGCCAATCCCTGATTTGTAGGCCTCCTCCCCTCCCCAGGCCCCCTTGCCCCCTCCCCCTCCCCCTTCCGCCCCCCCCTCACCCTCCCCCTCCCCCTCCCCCAGCCGTCCGCGGCCGCATGACCAGTAGAAGAGCAGTGAGGCAGGAAGATGGCGTTCCCGCACTCGACACCCAACCGTTAAAAGTTGGGGTTGAGAGGCCACCCTAGCATGGTGTATATGACATCCACTGCCCCCTCGCCCTGCCGCTAAAGAGCCGAGGCGGGCGGCGTAGCGTTAAAAATCACAAAATCTCTTGTGATTGCGGCCTCGTGGACTTCTTTCGGGAGTTAAGCTTAGGTTTGCATGCAGGGGATGCCCGACCAGAAAAACTCAGCCAAAGCTCAATAAGCACGACTTAGTAGTGATAACAATAGTTTGTCAGTGGTAGTAGTTTTTTGTCACCCACATGGCAAGCCAATGGCAGCTCCACGGGGACTCAAATGGCAACTAGTCACGACGAATCCCCACAATTGAGTAGGACAGCAAAACAAAAGTTGGGGCCACAGAAGGACTCTAGGGCTTCGTCGATCGGCTCACTCCCTCATGCTCAGAGGTGATGTGAAAGACTCTTCGAAGTATAGTTCAAAAAAGTATAGTATAGATTAGCAAACAAAGTAATCCCCATAAGGCAGCAAACAGGCTTGGACGACCCGCCCATCATACTGAGCCGGGACACTCACATCATAGGCTATTTCAGACAAGATTGCTGTCAAGGTATGAGGGGCCTTGCAGGAGATCGTTGTTGAAAAACAGCAAACAACCCAGTTGGACAAACCCTGATTCAGAGGCTCACCACAACTGAGCATAACCACTCCTCTCCTCAGTAGGCTTCCAGTGACGACAGAAAAAAACATGCAGCCAAGGTCGAAGTGAGTTTGTGTTGCGAGGTGGCTCGTGTAGTAGTAGTAGTAGTCGTCGTCGTCGTCGTCGTCGTCGAAGTCGTAGTCGTAGTAGTGGCAGTGGTAGTCGTAATAGTAATAGTACTAGGAAGCTCCACTTTTCGCAGGCTTTGATCCGAAGTGAGGTTAATCCCGACGTGTCCTCGGCAGCACGAACCAAGGCAGCCTGGGTGCGAAGGTTGTCCAAGTCCTCCTGAGGGACAAAACGATGACCAGGGTGCTGAAGAGCCCTAAAGCCCTTATATGCAACCCGATAGAGCCATGATAGAACTGTTACACTGTTATACTTCACCTGAAAGCCCACGTGAAACCCCCGCCTCTTCCGTCTTCATGTGTGCTACCTCCTGGGAGTCGGTGATGTCTTCCAGCTCTTTCGACATGGGTGGCAGCTCCGGCGCCTTTTTTCGAAGATCTGCGGTAACCTTACATGGCCTTTACATGTGCGCAGCTGAACATCACAAGTCATTTTGCCCAGGTTTCTGGCCTGCTGTCACAGCTACGGTAGAATGCTTACAATACTCTGCTTACCCTTGGGACGGCAGGTTGCAATGATGCCAGTGGTGGTGCACCGTCTCTGGCTCTTCCTGCCTCTTGAGAATGGCTCAGGGTGTTCTCGAGGCTGCCATCCTCAGCCGCCTGAAACATTCGCCAAGTAGGGCTAAAGTGCCCCCGCTGGTGCCGGAGTTCACCAAGCGAACAGGCGTTGGGCTCAGGACAGGGTGCCTTTGAAAGGAAATTAGGTCTGCCGTGCAATCTAATCTGATCTGCAAACACATTGCGGCATGGGTATGACGGGGCTTGGATGAACTGCGGTCTCAATGCTCGACCTCTGAGAGCTCCAATCGAAAGACGTAAACCAGGCGGACACAAAACTTCCACGTGCAACTCGCTCTTAATCCTCCTCCTCCTCCTCCTCCCGACAGCGAGGAATGCCAGTACTAATCATAACAATAGTAATCATACGCATAATACTATAATTCTAAAACAATAACAAGAACAATGACAATATCAAGAAAACTATTAATGCCAATATCTGCTACAATAAATAATTTACTAGCAATCATGTAGCAATATTAAACTAATTCGACAATAGCCATAGTACTAGTACTATTCTGATAACAATACTAAGAATAAAAATGAAAACATTCATGATATGAGTAACCGTAGAATGAAACTACGAACAAGAACAACAGTCATGGTCCCAATGATGTCAGTAATACCAATACTATCAACAAAGACTAAGCAGGACCCCAAATGCATCCGCTCTACAACAGCACAAACCCTCGTCCAAGGCCAAGGACGAAAAACACATGTGCTCGCTTGCCCCAACTCTGTGCCTTGCTCCCCAAGACTTCCTGCAAGGATCCATCCTGGAGTCAAAACATGCTGTTGGGGTCTTGGGCAGGCCTTGGGGCACTGAAGACTTCAGGCTGTTCTCAAGAGAGTTGATGTGACGTTGATGTGTATGGAAGGTAGGTAGCTAGCTGGGTCGTTCGTGGGTTAGGTAGCACGTTGGCGAGCTATGTGTTTGGTTTAGTTTAGTCTGTGGCAGCTTTGTTCAGTGTAGTTTAGGTAGTTGTTAACTGTTACCCCAAACGAATGACGGTTTCACCGGTTTGGTATGGAGGATGCTGTCTTCCACGTACCACTCATACAAAGTAATATTCTCGGCTTCATCAGCACGGCAACTCTGAGCTCCAAGCCGCGTGCTATTCAGCGTGTTATGTAGGAACCCGACCGCGCCTGCCCGCTTCGTTCTGGTTGATACAGCTGCAGTTCGCAAATCGCGCTTCGCATTAGCATTGCAGCTAAGACCCGCCGAGGCGGGGATTACCTCAGGTACCCTCCACCTAATCCTCCTCAAAGTTTGGAGACACCCTGTTTTTGCATTCGTTTGCCACCCCCCTGATTTGCGCAAGCTTACTGGAAACCCTGCCAAGTGCAATCGACCCAGTATATTTGGGTACAAGCTGCCAGGAAAACTTACACCGCAACATTCCTGGCCCAAGATGTTTACCAGAAACACCTGAAACTGGAACTCCGTCTTTCTGGCAGTGGCATGAGTCTTTGTCATGCCGATCTTGCTACTACCGTCCTCCTCGTCTTCGTTCGACTCTTGTGCTGCCGCCGCTGCGGCCTGCGACTTTCAACTTTTGGACAGTGCTCGGCTGCATTTGCTTCAGCTCTTCATAGAGATTAACATCGGCCTTCGTCGCAGCTATTCCTGGCTTGTCCTTCTCAGCCGACATTTTCTTGTCGCCGTCCGGCTCCTCATCGTCGTCCTCCACAAAAGCCCAGAGTACACAAAGCGCACAGCTCACCAGAGCAAGATTCTTGCACGACGGGCCTCGGACTCGGAATCCTTCTGCGCCGGCTTGGCCATGCAGAGGGGCACCTGGCAAAGCCGTCTTGAGCATTCCGAAGCTTTACACGTGGACGTCAGGTTGCGAGTGTTAGCATGGGTCTCCCTGTGCTGCCTGCGCAGTGCCCTTGATCTGGCTCGCTTTGAGAGGTGGTGGTTCATCATCCTGGCTATACGAAAAAAGCGAACCAACATCCAGTACCCCCTCTACCTGGCAACGTACCGAGGAGTCTTTGTCATGCCGATCTTGCTACTATCGTCCTCCTCGTCTTCTTCCGACTCCTGTGCTGCCTTGGCTGCGGCCTCCGGGGCTTTCAACTTGTGAATTGCTTCAGCTCTGGCTAGAGATTAACATCGGCCTTCGTCGCAGCTGCAGCTGACATTTTCTTGTCGCCGGCCGGCTCCTCATCGTCGTCCTACGCACAAGCCCAAAGCGCGCAAAGCGCACAGCTCACCAGAGCAAAATTCTTGCACGACGGCCTCGGACTCGGAATCCTCCTGTGCCGGCTTGGCCTTGCCGAGGGGCACCTGGCAAAGCCGTCCGAGCCAGGTTGCGACTTTTGAAGTGTGCCGGCAAATTAGAGCCATTAAGGGGGGCACGATGACTGGGTAATCTTGGTTTTCTTGCTCCATTAGTGGCCATTTTTATGCCGTGGAGGGCCTGGTAATCTTGCTCAGATTGCACCACCTGCGGGGGAGGACCGGTCATCTTGGTAATCTTGGATTAGGAAGATCACCGAGATACCAATATGGCTGGTCCCCCCTCTCCCAAAAGGTGTTCACGTGGTGCAGCATTCCCACGATTACAAAGCCGGAACCCCTCTGGGAGAAAAGCAAGCCTACCAGATTAGCAAGATTTCGGAAACAAGTAGCGGTTCTAAAATGCCGGCACAATGGACTGTTAGCATGGGTCTCCCTGTGCTGCCTGCGCAGTGCCCATACTTCGGCTCGCTTTAAGAGGTGGTGGCTCATCATCTTCCTGGCTAAGAACAATGCGAACCTAAACCCACTCCAGTCTCAATCATGCCGCATCTTTCTACTACCGTCCTCCTCGTCTTCGTCCGACTCCTGTGCTGCCTTGGCTGCGGCCTCCGGGGCTTTCAACTTGTGAATTGCTTCAGCTCTTGCTAGAGATTAACATCGGCCTTCGTCGCAGCTGCAGCTGACATTTTCTTGTCGCCGGCCGGCTCCTCATCGTCGTCCTACGCACCAGGCCGAAGCACACAAAGCGCACATCCCCTCGCCAGAGCAAGATTCTTGCACGACGGCCTCGGACTCGGAATCCTCTTGCGCCCTCCTCCCCTCCCCAGGCCCCCTTGCCCCCTCCCCCTCCCCCCTCCACCCCCTCGCCCTCCCCCTCCCCTCCCCTAGCATGGTGTATATGACATCCACTGCCCCCTCGCCCTGCCGCTAAAGAGCCGAGGCGGGCGGCGTAGCGTTAAAAATTACAAAATCTCTTGTGATTGCGGCCTTGTGGACTTCTTTCGGGAGTTAAGCTTAGGTTTGCATGCAGGGGATGCCCGACCAGAAAAAACTCAGCCAAAGCTCAATAAGCACGACTTAGTAGTGATAACAATAGTTTGTCAGTGGTAGTAGTTTTTTGTCACCCACATGGCAAGCCAATGGCAGCTCCACGGGGACTCAAATGGCAACTAGTCACGACGAATCCCCACAATTGAGTAGGACAGCAAAACAAAAGTTGGGGCCACAGAAGGACTCTAGGGCTTCGTCGATCGGCTCACTCCCTCATGCTCAGAGGTGATGTGAAAGACTCTTCGAAGTATAGTTCAAAAAAGTATAGTATAGAATAGCAAACAAAGTAATCCCCATAAGGCAGCAAACAGGCTTGGACGACCCGCCCATCATACTGAGCCGGGACACTCACATCATAGGCTATTTCAGACAAGATTGCTGTCAAGGTATGAGGGGCCTTGCAGGAGATCGTTGTTGAAAAACAGCAAACAACCCAGTTGGACAAACCCTGATTCAGAGGCTCACCACAACTGAGCATAACCACTCCTCTCCTCAGTGGGCTTCCAGTGACGACAGAAAAAACATGCAGCCAAGGTCGAAGTGAGTTTGTGTTGCGAGGTGGCTCGTGTAGTAGTAGTAGTAGTCGTCGTCGTCGTCGTCGAAGTCGTAGTCGTAGTAGTGGTAGTGGTAGTGGTAGTCGTAATAGTAATAGTACTAGGAAGCTCCACTTTTCGCAGGCTTTGATCCGAAGTGAGGTTAATCCCGACGTGTCCTCGGCAGCACGAACCAAGGCAGCCTGGGTGCGAAGGTTGTCCAAGTCCTCCTGAGGGACAAAACGATGACCAGGGTGCTGAAGAGCCCTAAAGCCCTTATATGCAACCCGATAGAGCCATGATAGAACTGTTACACTGTTATACTTCACCTGAAAGCCCACGTGAAACCCCCGCCTCTTCCGTCTTCATGTGTGCTACCTCCTGGGAGTCGCTGATGTCTTCCAGCTCTTTCGACATGGGTGGCAGCTCCGGCGCCTTTTTTCGAAGATCTGCGGTAACCTTACATGGCCTTTACATGTGCGCAGCTGAACATCACAAGTCATTTTGCCCAGGTTTCTGGCCTGCTGTCACAGCTACGGTAGAATGCTTACAATACTCTGCTTACCCTTGGGACGGTAGGTTGCAATGATGCCAGTGGTGGTGCACCGTCTCTGGCTCTTCCTGCCTCTTGAGAATGGCTCAGGGTGTTCTCGAGGCTGCCATCCTCAGCCGCCTGAAACATTCGCCGAGTAGGGCTAAAGTGCCCCCGCTGGTGCCGGAGTTCACCAAGCGAACAGGCGTTGGGCTCAGGACAGGGTGCCTTTGAAAGGAAATTAGAAGGTCTGCCGTGCAATCTAATCTGATCTGCAAACACATTGCGGCATGGGTATGACGGGGCTTGGATGAACTGCGGTCTCAATGCTCGACCTCTGAGAGCTCCAATCGAAAGACGTAAACCAGGTCACGCCTCAACGACGATCTCCTGTGACTCCTGTGCACTGAGGCTCATCATTGGTTGCGATAGCAGGAGTTGGAAACCACGCGAAGATTAGAAACTGCACCGGAAGCATCGACGTGGCAAATGTTATAGAAAGACCTGAGAAGCAAAAGAAGAACGTTGATGGTTTATCGTTACTCGTAATGGCAAATTTCATGACCGATATCTCTCCGAAATCAGGGGACCGTACCAATGATCGTGAAGATGCCAGTTGTAGGATTGCGGCATAGCCCAGAACGTCCACCTAAATTGCCTTAATTACAACCCCCAGCTAGCAAAATCAAACCCAAGCCCCAAACACCATATAAACTCTGAAATCCAAGCAGTATAAACTCTGAAATCCAAGCAGAAACATCTAGAAGGTTCGACAAGGGGATCAAAGGATTTCTAGAAGTCTCTGATTCTTTAGTCTACATATAAGGGTTCCTGTAAGAAGTCCTAGAAGGGTTTGGTCCTATGAAGGGTCCTGTAAGGGTTCCAATAAGATGCTCTGTAACGGGCTTCTATTCGGGTTTGACATTTTTTTCGGTTTCAGATCTTGCAGATGCAAAGCCAGCACAAACTTCAAGGCGTTTGACTGCTCATGGGAGCAAAATCCACAGCAGCCCTAAACTCCCAAACCCTGGATCGCTTCCACCTCCACCAGGGCGGTCTGGCAGCACCCCATGCCGTTGAGCCTTATAAAACTTCTTTCAGCCCTTATAAATAAGACCTTTATAAGCCCAAATTGATGAAACAAGCCCTTTTTCAGTTCCTAATCGTGCAAACCTCGACCCGATGACTCCGCCCATAACCCCAGGACCCTCAACTCGAAGCCCTAAACCGGAAACCCTACCCTAGAGAAGAACGCATTCAAGGTTTAAGGTTTAAGGTTGTAGGTAATTTACCCCTTACTTCGCCATGGGGTGCAGTATGGGGATTTAGGACTTCGGGCATTACACTTTCGTGTCGGGAGTCAATATCTGTGCGTGTGTGTGTGTGTGTCTGCGTGCATGGTGCATGCCGTGATGCCGACTCAAGACATTGCTGCGGCATGCAGAAACGATCGATGCTTGCTTCCCACACTCTCCCTGTTTAAGCCAAATTCAAAAGGTTCGCTTCATTTCCAGCTCGCGATACGGCTCCGACTGGATGCGACGTCTTCTGTTCGATCAGGGACCTTCTAGGGAGTTCTTCACCGAGGTCAAAGTGGTGGCCCATCGACCGAAACAGTCAGCAACTGGGAGGATAACTGTTGATTTACTGATTTGAAGGCCTGAATATTTGCAGGGCTGATGATTCACTTGAGGGCCTAACATTCCACGCATCCAAGCAAGTGCGTGAACTCCTCCCATATGTCCATATGCTTCTGTCGAAAAACCAGACCACAGCTGCAACCTGGGAGACCTGTACAAAGAGTCACAAAATGAAACGTAACTCGCACAAAGTAACTGCCTTGCACTGGCGCTCCAGAGGCCCAACCACTGCAAGAAACTCTTCCTACTGGTAACACGTATAACTCTCAAACTCGTTCTACAGATTTGGAATGGCTTAGTGTCAGAGGTAGAGCAGGCTGGTCTCTGGTTTGCCGGCTTCCTGGTCCAGAGATTACTGTTGGAAATTGCTTGTCCATCCTGTTCCAACACGTGGACGTGGATGCTTGACATTGAAGCAAGACCTAGAAGGGTTCGGTCCTAACGCTACTTCCAGGAACTAGACCGCGTGAAATGTCTGGATACACAAGAACAGGATATGACTAAGCAAAGGGGGCGGCAACATCGATGCACGAACACTGCCGGACCCTTACCTCTCTGGGGCACCGTTTTGAACATGGTTCTAATGGTATGGGGAGTGTCCCCTGCTTTTTTGTTCACCGGTGCAGTGCCCACGGGTCGTAGATTCGCAATTCCGTTGCAAAAAAAAGCAACACAGTTGGTCCACACAGGTGCTCAGCACCTGCTCAGGCTGCTCGGGACCCGGCTTCTCAAAGCTTTCCAAGCCGTCCACGCCCTCGAAAGTGCTTTTCTTCCAGGCCTGCAACATACCCCAGCAGTGGACGACCCGCATCGCATCTCAGCGTTCACATTTGGCTGGGGCTCCGCGCAAGCACTGCCGTCCGAGGCCCTCATCGGCACCTGATCGGACAGAGCCGTGGGATACGCACATTCTTTGCTGAGGCCAAATGTACACGACAAGGCGGGAAATGGCTAAGCGACAGAATCAGATTCTTGTGGGAAAAGTGCGTGGAAGTTCGCATCTGAAGGGAAGAGCTTGTTGAGTGCAAAAGGTCGTGAATGAGCGCATACCAATTCCAAACATCGAAGACCGTACAACTTGGGGACTCCTTCATCTCCTTCGTCACAGCACTTCCCTTCAAAATGTGCGTCCGTCCTGGAAAGTGGCGATGAAAGTACGCGGAAACTACGCGCGAAACCAGAACGCAGAACCATTTCAGCAAGAGGATCACTTGGAGGGTCTAGGGTTTAAGGGCCCTCATCGCCTGCCAGCGTGCATGGCTTGGTTTGAGTTTGCTCTTGTCCCCATTTTCTCAACTCAAGGTCGGACACCCTTCAGGTGATTACGTTAAGCAGTACCAGAACTGCTGCCAAACTCGTCGTTCAAAAATCGAGACCAAGCACCGGCGTTGCAGGCAGAATCCATGTCTAGCAAATCATCCAAGCTCACGCAGACTTGACCAACCAGGAAGCTTGGTGCCACGAAACAGAGCTCACCATCGCACATGTCTTCCACAGTGAGCCAACAGACCGTCCCATCGGCACACAGAAACTTTGCCTGCGGCTCGTCTTCCTCATCAACTCCCAGAAAAGTAGCTGACACATAGGTCTTACTAGTAATTCCCTTGACCTCTGGACTAAGCTCTGGGAAGAGCAAGGCGACCTCCTCTCCTTTCACGCAGACTTCCGTAGGCAGGTATAAGCTCTCTACCTGATCACAGCCACAGAAACATGAATACAGGAGCATGGGGATGTTCACCATGGTATGAAGGATACAACATAAGGAACATAAGCAGTCTCTGCAACATTTGTCACATCCATGCCCTCGCGGCGGTGGGCCGGCGGGGCAAGAGAGCATCCAAAACTTCACTTCCCAGCAGCTGCCTTGGCCCACAACAGCGTATCCGCAATGAAAGTCGGAGCTGCGGCAGCGCCGATATGTACAGCTCTTCAGCCACCAGAAGCAGACGCAAAGACCAAAGATGCCAGTCGCTGCTCCAACCAAGACGAAGCAGAAAACGAGCCAGTGTGCAAACTGCTCCGCCGAGCTCTCCGCCGAGCTCTCCCAGCATTCAAGGCTCTTGCCCCAACAATGAGAAATGACGATGATCGGGTTCAATGTAATTGCAGGGATCAACAACAGGCCAAAAAACAGAAGCACAATCTTGCAGTACACATTTTTGCACCTCGCGAAGCACAGGCCACAGAGCCACGTTGGGTCATGAATGGGAAGCTTGTTCAACTGCGCTGCCACGACTGAGTCTGGTGGCGCATGCCAGGGCATGTCAACCAGACGTGAGAACGCGGACTGCCATGGCAAACTGCGCGAGAGCAGCTCTGACCATGATCAACTCAGCTGCGTGCGGATGCTTAAGCTGGAGGTCTGAACACCCCAGTCAGGAAAAACCTTCCACTGCGCTGCAATCGCCTACCCTACTCCCTGGTCTCTGGTCCTTTTCAACTTGAAGTTTGTGGTACTTGGAAGGCCCGCAACAACCACCCGGCGAACCTGCACATCCATTGGCAAACTCGCAGAAGACACACCGGAGCCAGAACCATTGCATGAACCCGGCACATAGCGGACATACTGGATTGAAGTTAGAGAACCAACAGGAACAAGCAGCAGTCACTGCAACCACCCTCAAGTGACCTCTGCTCTGGTCCTGCACGTGGCCGAGGGCCAGGCGGCTCGGGGCCGCCAGTGTCGTGGCTGTTCCTCTTGGCGAAGAGGCACTGCATGAGAAAAATTGAGAAATGAGCACAAATCGGCACAAAGAGAGGCGAGACAGCCGGAGAGAACTTGTCTGCGCTGTCTTGAAACCTTCCGAATGGGCCGCTATAGAATCCAACAACAGGTCGCTAGTTAACGCAGCACCAACCCAAACCAGCCACAGCCGCCCTAGCCATCGGCTCGTCATGTGCTATCAACCAGCGGCCTAAGCGTGCCGAAGGTATCGCTGGCGCGGCCATCCTTTTCAAGGCAAGAGGCTGAGGAACTCAAGGGTCTACCGAGCCGTGGAAAAGCAATCAATTGCTGCAGCTGCGGCATACCGCATGCCAATCAGACTACTTCAATACAACGAACACCACACCACAGTGTCTGCTGCCTCACTATTAAATGAATTCGGGAAGATGTTCGTGACAAGCAGCCCACTCACTCAGCCAAACCATGTCGAAACGTGCACTTGGTTGCAAACCAGCAACCGATGCACCTCCGCGTGGCCAGCGCCATTATCCCCGTGTCGTGGCGAACGCAGTGTTGCAGGGTGTGTTCTAGGACGTTTGCTGTGCTGGGATCGCTTTTTTGTTGAGCTCCTTTTTCCACCTGCAGCGCTGGAATGCTTATCCACCAAGCTTAGCAGTGGAGAGAATAGATGATGTTGGCTATGTAGAAACTTGTTCCTCGGCGGGTGACTGAGCACAACACAGCGTGCGTGCGCTAAGAGCCTTCCGAAGGGGCATGCACAAACGATCAATGCCAAGCAAAAGGGCCGACTCGGGCAGCATGATGCATGAAGAAGTCCGCAGGGCTCGGTTCACATAAACCTGCCGGCCTTGAAGTGAATGCAGCTGGCCATTGAAAACCTGACCCTGACAAGAACTATGACTCATTGTACCAGACACCGTCGTTTTCAAGTGAAGAATCGGCCAGAATCCGTTCTGAAGGTCCATTTCCGGGAACACAGTATACCACTGGCCACTTTTTGGACACGGAACTTGTGGTGAGTGTCCACTGCAAAAGACAGATGACGTGCATGCTCTCGGGAAAGGCAACACAAGTAGAATGAACCGTTGTGAGGAGTTGTCTACTGCCCACTGGCACTTTCTCCGAGTGATGCTTGGCATGCTTTGTTGCGGTCACAGCTTGTGCTGTGAACACTCTTACCTACGTGCATTTGCAGAGAAGTTCTGGGAATCAAGGCCCTGCTGTGGGATGTGGGCGGCTAGCAACATTCCATCCTCCCCGTCCACCACTCTCTTCCTGGAAGGCTCTTCATGAACCACAATGCCTTATCGCGGCGGCTTCTTTCTACACCCGGTGCGCGCCGTGAGCAGTCTCCGCGACGGGTCTCATTAACACGGCAGCTGCAGTCACCGCGCTACCTGGCAAAGCTGCCGCATGCAGCAACACCAATCACAGCAGACATACTGCATTCGATACATTCTGGAATTTGATCAATGCTGCAAGTCTGCTCGGAACCGGCACTTGCGTCTTGGGGTTGGCATCCCTCGCCACGCATTTTTAAACTCAAGCTGACAGCGGAGGTTTCGGGTTTCAGTCTTGCCTAGGAGCGTGTGCACGTGGACAAATAGCTGTGGCAACACGATGCTCAGGATACCTTGAATGCATTGCCACCTCGGGGGCTTGCATTCCGACCTGTTTGCGTACTTGAAAGCTGTCGGTCTGTGTTCACTTCGACTGGGACTTGCTGGCCAGCACGTCCCTCCAGGAAAAATACGTGCATTTGCCGTCCTCGGACTTCATGTACGTAGCATCTACGTCGTCCGGGATGTCGGCGTCTTTGATTTTATCGTTGATGGCGTCCTCGTCCATCAGGATCTTCGGGGCGATGACCGCCTTCTTGGGGTAGCGGGCGAGGGCGGAGCGCTGCAGAATCCATAACTTCCACCCTTCCGTTGTAAGCAGCTGCTCACGGCCGTTCGGGAGCTTTGCCCGGAAGACCTCGATGGGCTGCTCGTGCCCGATGTACACAGTCTTGCCATCGTCGAGCACTTTGGCTGACTGCCAGACCGGGCTCAGCGGCTGCTTAGCAGCCCTGCCGTCGGGCTGGTGATCTGGAATATCTTTGCAAGCATATCCGACGTCAAAGGGGTCGACCCGCCCCGTACTGCACATCTGCGAATGGATGTCACTGTCTTTGGGGAAGGCTGTCCAAGTCTCTCTCGCCGGGGCCACGGTTGCATCGGAGGGCTCTGGCTCCGCTCGGCGCGCTGGATTCGTAGCCCGCAAGGCGCGTGCGAACAGTCGGCCTGCAACCACGCAACAACTGCGATCACTATGCAAGTTTAAGAGCCGCGACGCAACTTTGATGCCGGCTACTGCACTGCGCTCCTGCGGCTTTGCGTTGCAGCTGCTGGTCCAAACCTCGCACAACATGCATGGCTCACAGCTACCCCGGGTAAGGCCACGCAGCCTCCACACCAACCACTAGTATATGCTTTGGAGTTTCCTGGTGGGCACCTGGCCTTCATCCTCATTTTGCGGGGCCGGCTTCGTGTTGAAGCCTCCCGTAACACGGCTCACATGACTGAACGACCCTTTCGCACCTGCGGCGCCTTCGTCCCAAGACCACTCGCCCCAAGTTTGATTCCAGCCTGCACAAAATAAAGCGAAATGCATACGCCCTGAAATCACTCAGTGACTCTCAGTCTACATACGCGGCCTTCTAGAACGCTGCCTGTTGACAAGGATGGTTCACCAGAATGCTTTGGATTTGCAAACGAGATGTTTCCTCTTCTCAACTCGAAATCAGTGGCCTGATGTATGTATTTCTTGCAAATCCTGGGCTGTCACACTAAAGTATGAGGCCTCTCAGGCTTGTCCGTGTGGTCCAAACCCGGACAGCAAAGGGTAGGGTACGATTTTCGGCCACAAAATACTGGTAAAGAACATCATGTTCTGCTAGTATTCTTGCTATCGGTAAGCCAGGAATACATACAATGAACATGTGGAATAGAATATGTTGAAGAGAAGATCAACCGAGGACCTCAAAGCCGAGAAGCCGGGACCCGGAAACCAGCCAACAGCGCGGAAGCCAAAGCTTGCAAGCTGAGGAGCCAAAAGCTAAGAAGCCAACGACCAAAAACGTCAAAGACAAAGAAGCAATTATCACTCAGAAAAAAGAATGAGTCAACTCCTCGTGAAACCAGACTTCATCCATCTTCATCTTCTGCTTAGCGAGCACTAGCAGATGCTCTCAGCCGAGCCAGCCTGAGTCGCGTCTGCTGCCATTGTTCCACCCTTTCCAACCTGCAGCAATGCGCACGGCACAGCAGAAAGCGGCACGGCCTTCACACCAACTGGACTACCTCCTGACTACCTGCCGTGAAGAATCACTGGGCCTTTGTCCTGAGGCCAGCTTCGCCAAGACTGATTCCAGCCTGCGCAGAACAGAATTGGGATTCATGCACTCTGATACCAGTCAGCCAGCCAAGCTATGGACACCGCCTCCGTCTTGAAGGCTGCCTTTCGTCACGGATTGCTTGGAAGTGCTTGGCTTCGCGCCCGGATCATTCAACCTGCTCTCAATCGAGCCGGCCTGAATCACGTCGATGGTAACTCCAGCCTGCTGCACAGGACAACGACAAGGCCCTGCGGTGAAGCTTCCGGTAATTCCTGATGCGCACCCGGCCTTCATTCGCTGCGTGCTTTGCCTCGTGCTCGGTGCCTCACGCAGAGATTACGTCGGCGAGGGACTTTTTGCGCAGGACAACAGGCCTTCAGCACCATCACGAGACCAGCGACCATAGGGTTGCTGCACCCAGCTGTCGCTCCAGCCTGCTGCACAGGACACCAGGATACTGTATGGAGCGCCGCACATCGAATCAGCATGAGGCAGCACGGCCTCCGTGCCAACCCTGCCAATGATTTGGCATTGCTACCAAGAGGAATGTCTTTGGCTACAGTGTATTTGAGCCTGGCCGCATTCCGACAAGTTGAGATGCCCAAGTATCGGCAGAGCTCAAGCACATGCAAACTCGTATCTACACTGCCCGCATCCACTACCTCAGAAAGGATCCGAGCGTCGCCTGCAATGTCTGAGGGGCCTGGTTGTTTGAGTATGTAACGCCCTTATTCCGAAAATACACAAGACCAGCGTAAACCACGTGCTACGTCGTGACAATCCGAGCACGGCAGAAATTCCAGCAACTCACGAGAGTAGCCGGCCTACGATCTTGGAAGGACACGGTGGAATGCCAAAGTAGGATCTGACCTGCCGAGCAGAAGGCAGGTTGCCTAGAGGTCGGCATGTTCCTAAAATTCAAGCTGACAGCGGAGGTTTCGGGTTTCAGTCTTGCCTAGGAGCGTGTGCACGTGGACAAATAGCTGTGGCAACACGATGCTCAGGATACCTTGAATGCATTGCCACCTCGGGGGCTGGCATTCCGACCTGTTTGCGTACTTGAAAGCTGTCGGTCTGTGTTCACTTCGACTGGGACTTGCTGGCCAGCACGTCCCTCCAGGAAAAATACGTGCATTTGCCGTCCTCGGACTTCATGTACGTAGCATCTACGTCGTCCGGGATGTCGGCGTCTTTGATTTTATCGTTGATGGCGTCCTCGTCCATCAGGATCTTCGGGGCGATGACCGCCTTCTTGGGGTAGCGGGCGAGGGCGGAGCGCTGCAGAATCCATAACTTCCACCCTTCCGTTGTAAGCAGCTGCTCACGGCCGTTCGGGAGCTTTGCCCGGAAGACCTCGATGGGCTGCTCGTGCCCGATGTACACAGTCTTGCCATCGTCGAGCACTTTGGCTGACTGCCAGACCCGGCTCAGCGGCTGCTTAGCAGCCCTGCCGTCGGGCTGGTGATCTGGAATATCTTTGCAAGCGTATCCGACGTCAAAGGGGTCGACCCGCCCCGTACTGCACATCTGCGAATGGATGTCACTGTCTTTGGGGAAGGCTGTCCAAGTCTCTCTCGCCGGGGCCACGGTTGCATCGGAGGGCTCTGGCTCCGCTCGGCGCGCTGGATTCGTAGCCCGCAAGGCGCGTGCGAACAGTCGGCCTGCAACCACGCAACAACTGCGATCACTATGCAAGTTTAAGAGCCGCGACGCAACTTTGATGCCGGCTACTGCACTGCGCTCCTGCGGCTTTGCGTTGCAGCTGCTGGTCCAAACCTCGCACAACATGCATGGCTCACAGCTACCCCGGGTAAGGCCACGCAGCCTCCACACCAACCACTAGTATATGCTTTGGAGTTTCCTGGTGGGCACCTGGCCTTCATCCTCATTTTGCGGGGCCGGCTTCGTGTTGAAGCCTCCCGTAACACGGCTCACATGACTGAACGACCCTTTCGCACCTGCGGCGCCTTCGTCCCAAGACCACTCGCCCCAAGTTTGATTCCAGCCTGCACAAAATAAAGCGAAATGCATACGCCCTGAAATCACTCAGTGACTCTCAGTCTACATACGCGGCCTTCTAGAACGCTGCCTGTTGACAAGGATGGTTCACCAGAATGCTTTGGATTTGCAAACGAGATGTTTCCTCTTCTCAACTCGAAATCAGTGGCCTGATGTATGTATTTCTTGCAAATCCTGGGCTGTCACACTAAAGTATGAGGCCTCTCAGGCTTGTCCGTGTGGTCCAAACCCGGACAGCAAAGGGTAGGGTACGATTTTCGGCCACAAAATACTGGTAAAGAACATCATGTTCTGCTAGTATTCTTGCTATCGGTAAGCCAGGAATACATACAATGAACATGTGGAATAGAATATGTTGAAGAGAAGATCAACCGAGGACCTCAAAGCCGAGAAGCCGGGACCCGGAAACCAGCCAACAGCGCGGAAGCCAAAGCTTGCAAGCTGAGGAGCCAAAAGCTAAGAAGCCAACGACCAAAAACGTCAAAGACAAAGAAGCAATTATCACTCAGAAAAAAAGAATGAGTCAACTCCTCGAGAAACCAGACTTCATCCATCTTCATCTTCTGCTTAGCGAGCACTAGCAGATGCTCTCAGCCGAGCCAGCCTGAGTCGCGTCTGCTGCCATTGTTCCACCCTTTCCAACCTGCAGCAATGCGCACGGCACAGCAGAAAGCGGCACGGCCTTCACACCAACTGGACTACCTCCTGACTACCTGCCGTGAAGAATCACTGGGCCTTTGTCCTGAGGCCAGCTTCGCCAAGACTGATTCCAGCCTGCGCAGAACAGAATTGGGATGCATGCACTCTGATACCAGTCAGCCAGCCAAGCTATGGACACCGCCTCCGTCTTGAAGGCTGCCTTTCGTCACGGATTGCTTGGAAGTGCTTGGCTTCGCGCCCGGATCATTCAACCTGCTCTCAATCGAGCCAGCCTGAATCACGTCGATGGTAACTCCAGCCTGCTGCACAGGACAACGACAAGGCCCTGCGGTGAAGCTTCCGGTAATTCCTGATGCGCACCCGGCCTTCATTCGCTGCGTGCTTTGCCTCGTGCTCGGTGCCTCACGCAGAGATTACGTCGGCGAGGGACTTTTTGCGCAGGACAACAGGCCTTCAGCACCATCACGAGACCAGCGACCATAGGGTTGCTGCACCCAGCTGTCGCTCCAGCCTGCTGCACAGGACACCAGGATACTGTATGGAGCGCCGCACATCGAATCAGCATGAGGCAGCACGGCCTCCGTGCCAACCCTGCCAATGATTTGGCATTGCTACCAAGAGGAATGTCTTTGGCTACAGTGTATTTGAGCCTGGCAGCATTCCGACAAGTTGAGATGCCCAAGTATCGGCAGAGCTCAAGCACATGCAAACTCGTATCTACACTGCCCGCATCCACTACCTCAGAAAGGATCCGAGCGTCGCCTGCAATGTCTGAGGGGCCTGGTTGTTTGAGTATGTAACGCCCTTATTCCGAAAATACACAAGACCAGCGTAAACCACGTGCTACGTCGTGACAATCCGAGCACGGCAGAAATTCCAGCAACTCACGAGAGTAGCCGGCCTACGATCTTGGAAGGACACGGTGGAATGCCAAAGTAGGATCTGACCTGCCGAGCAGAAGGCAGGTTGCCTAGAGGTCGGCATGTTCCTAAAATTCAAGCTGACAGCGGAGGTTTCGGGTTTCAGTCTTGCCTAGGAGCGTGTGCACGTGGACAAATAGCTGTGGCAACACGATGCTCAGGATACCTTGAATGCATTGCCACCTCGGGGGCTGGCATTCCGACCTGTTTGCGTACTTGAAAGCTGTCGGTCTGTGCTCACTTCGACTGGGACTTGCTGGCCAGCACGTCCCTCCAGGAAAAATACGTGCATTTGCCGTCCTCGGACTTCATGTACGTAGCATCTACGTCGTCCGGGATGTCGGCGTCTTTGATTTTATCGTTGATGGCGTCCTCGTCCATCAGGATCTTCGGGGCGATGACCGCCTTCTTGGGGTAGCGGGCGAGGGCCGAGCGCTGCAGAATCCATAACTTCCACCCTTCCGTTGTAAGCAGCTGCTCACGGCCGTTCGGGAGCTTTGCCCGGAAGACCTCGATGGGCTGCTCGTGCCCGATGTACACAGTCTTGCCATCGTCGAGCACTTTGGCTGACTGCCAGACCCGGCTCAGCGGCTGCTTAGCAGCCCTGCCGTCGGGCTGGTGATCTGGAATATCTTTGCAAGCGTATCCGACGTCAAAGGGGTCGACCCGCCCCGTACTGCACATCTGCGAATGGATGTCACTGTCTTTGGGGAAGGCTGTCCAAGTCTCTCTCGCCGGGGCCACGGTTGCATCGGAGGGCTCTGGCTCCGCTCGGCGCGCTGGATTCGTAGCCCGCAAGGCGCGTGCGAACAGTCGGCCTGCAACCACGCAACAACTGCGATCACTATGCAAGTTTAAGAGCCGCGACGCAACTTTGATGCCGGCTACTGCACTGCGCTCCTGCGGCTTTGCGTTGCAGCTGCTGGTCCAAACCTCGCACAACATGCATGGCTCACAGCTACGCCGGGTAAGGCCACGCAGCCTCCACACCAACCACTAGTATATGCTTTGGAGTTTCCTGGTGGGCACCTGGCCTTCATCCTCATTTTGCGGGGCCGGCTTCGTGTTGAAGCCTCCCGTAACACGGCTCACATGACTGAACGACCCTTTCGCACCTGCGGCGCCTTCGTCCCAAGACCACTCGCCCCAAGTTTGATTCCAGCCTGCACAAAATAAAGCGAAATGCATACGCCCTGAAATCACTCAGTGACTCTCAGTCTACATACGCGGCCTTCTAGAACGCTGCCTGTTGACAAGGATGGTTCACCAGAATGCTTTGGATTTGCAAACGAGATGTTTCCTCTTCTCAACTCGAAATCAGTGGCCTGATGTATGTATTTCTTGCAAATCCTGGGCTGTCACACTAAAGTATGAGGCCTCTCAGGCTTGTCCGTGTGGTCCAAACCCGGACAGCAAAGGGTAGGGTACGATTTTCGGCCACAAAATACTGGTAAAGAACATCATGTTCTGCTAGTATTCTTGCTATCGGTAAGCCAGGAATACATACAATGAACATGTGGAATAGAATATGTTGAAGAGAAGATCAACCGAGGACCTCAAAGCCGAGAAGCCGGGACCCGGAAACCAGCCAACAGCGCGGAAGCCAAAGCTTGCAAGCTGAGGAGCCAAAAGCTAAGAAGCCAACGACCAAAAACGTCAAAGACAAAGAAGCAATTATCACTCAGAAAAAAAGAATGAGTCAACTCCTCGTGAAACCAGACTTCATCCATCTTCATCTTCTGCTTAGCGAGCACTAGCAGATGCTCTCAGCCGAGCCAGCCTGAGTCGCGTCTGCTGCCATTGTTCCACCCTTTCCAACCTGCAGCAATGCGCACGGCACAGCAGAAAGCGGCACGGCCTTCACACCAACTGGACTACCTCCTGACTACCTGCCGTGAAGAATCACTGGGCCTTTGTCCTGAGGCCAGCTTCGCCAAGACTGATTCCAGCCTGCGCAGAACAGAATTGGGATTCATGCACTCTGATACCAGTCAGCCAGCCAAGCTATGGACACCGCCTCCGTCTTGAAGGCTGCCTTTCGTCACGGATTGCTTGGAAGTGCTTGGCTTCGCGCCCGGATCATTCAACCTGCTCTCAATCGAGCCGGCCTGAATCACGTCGATGGTAACTCCAGCCTGCTGCACAGGACAACGACAAGGCCCTGCGGTGAAGCTTCCGGTAATTCCTGATGCGCACCCGGCCTTCATTCGCTGCGTGCTTTGCCTCGTGCTCGGTGCCTCACGCAGAGATTACGTCGGCGAGGGACTTTTTGCGCAGGACAACAGGCCTTCAGCACCATCACGAGACCAGCGACCATAGGGTTGCTGCACCCAGCTGTCGCTCCAGCCTGCTGCACAGGACACCAGGATACTGTATGGAGCGCCGCACATCGAATCAGCATGAGGCAGCACGGCCTCCGTGCCAACCCTGCCAATGATTTGGCATTGCTACCAAGAGGAATGTCTTTGGCTACAGTGTATTTGAGCCTGGCAGCATTCCGACAAGTTGAGATGCCCAAGTATCGGCAGAGCTCAAGCACATGCAAACTCGTATCTACACTGCCCGCATCCACTACCTCAGAAAGGATCCGAGCGTCGCCTGCAATGTCTGAGGGGCCTGGTTGTTTGAGTATGTAACGCCCTTATTCCGAAAATACACAAGACCAGCGTAAACCACGTGCTACGTCGTGACAATCCGAGCACGGCAGAAATTCAAGCAACTCACGAGAGTAGCCGGCCTACGATCTTGGAAGGACACGGTGGAATGCCAAAGTAGGATCTGACCTGCCGAGCAGAAGGCAGGTTGCCTAGAGGTCATGTTCCTAAAATTCAAGCTGACAGCGGAGGTTTCGGGTTTCAGTGTTGCCTAGGAGCTTGTGCACGTGGACAAATAGCTGTGGCAACACGATGCTCAGGATACCTTGAATGCATTGCCACCTCGGGGGCTGGCATTCCGACCTGTTTGCGTACTTGAAAGATGTCGGTCTGTGCTCACTTCGACTGGGACTTGCTGGCCAGCACGTCCCTCCAGGAAAAATACGTGCATTTGCCGTCCTCGGACTTCATGTACGGAGCATCTACGTCGTCCGGGATGTCGGCGTCTTTGATTATATCGTTGATGGCGTCCTCGTCCATCAGGATCTTCGGGGCGATGACCGCCTTCTTGGGGTAGCGGGCGAGGGCGGAGCGCTGCAGAATCCATAACTTCCACCCTTCCGTTGTAAGCAGCTGCTCACGGCCGTTCGGGAGCTTTGCCCGGAAGACCTCGATGGGCTGCTCGCGCCCGATGTACACAGTCTTGCCATCGTCGAGCACTTTGGCTGACTGCCAGACCCGGCTCAGCGGCTGCTTAGCAGCCCTGCCGTCGGGCTGGTGATCTGGAATATCTTTGCAAGCATATCCGACGTCAAAGGGGTCGACCCGCCCCGTACTGCACATCTGCGAATGGATGTCACTGTCTTTGGGGAAGGCTGTCCAAGTCTCTCTCGCCGGGGCCACGGTTGCATCGGAGGGCTCTGGCTCCGCTCGGCGCGCTGGATTCGTAGCCCGCAAGGCGCGTGCGAACAGTCGGCCTGCAACCACGCAACAACTGCGATCACTATGCAAGTTTAAGAGCCGCGACGCAACTTTGATGCCGGCTACTGCACTGCGCTCCTGCGGCTTTGCGTTGCAGCTGCTGGTCCAAACCTCGCACAACATGCATGGCTCACAGCTACGCCGGGTAAGGCCACGCAGCCTCCACACCAACCACTAGTATATGCTTTGGAGTTTCCTGGTGGGCACCTGGCCTTCATCCTCATTTTGCGGGGCCGGCTTCGTGTTGAAGCCTCCCGTAACACGGCTCACATGACTGAACGACCCTTTCGCACCTGCGGCGCCTTCGTCCCAAGACCACTCGCCCCAAGTTTGATTCCAGCCTGCACAAAATAAAGCGAAATGCATACGCCCTGAAATCACTCAGTGACTCTCAGTCTACATACGCGGCCTTCTAGAACGCTGCCTGTTGACAAGGATGGTTCACCAGAATGCTTTGGATTTGCAAACGAGATGTTTCCTCTTCTCAACTCGAAATCAGTGGCCTGATGTATGTATTTCTTGCAAATCCTGGGCTGTCACACTAAAGTATGAGGCCTCTCAGGCTTGTCCGTGTGGTCCAAACCCGGACAGCAAAGGGTAGGGTACGATTTTCGGCCACAAAATACTGGTAAAGAACATCATGTTCTGCTAGTATTCTTGCTATCGGTAAGCCAGGAATACATACAATGAACATGTGGAATAGAATATGTTGAAGAGAAGATCAACCGAGGACCTCAAAGCCGAGAAGCCGGGACCCGGAAACCAGCCAACAGCGCGGAAGCCAAAGCTTGCAAGCTGAGGAGCCAAAAGCTAAGAAGCCAACGACCAAAAACGTCAAAGACAAAGAAGCAATTATCACTCAGAAAAAAAGAATGAGTCAACTCCTCGAGAAACCAGACTTCATCCATCTTCATCTTCTGCTTAGCGAGCACTAGCAGATGCTCTCAGCCGAGCCAGCCTGAGTCGCGTCTGCTGCCATTGTTCCACCCTTTCCAACCTGCAGCAATGCGCACGGCACAGCAGAAAGCGGCACGGCCTTCACACCAACTGGACTACCTCCTGACTACCTGCCGTGAAGAATCACTGGGCCTTTGTCCTGAGGCCAGCTTCGCCAAGACTGATTCCAGCCTGCGCAGAACAGAATTGGGATGCATGCACTCTGATACCAGTCAGCCAGCCAAGCTATGGACACCGCCTCCGTCTTGAAGGCTGCCTTTCGTCACGGATTGCTTGGAAGTGCTTGGCTTCGCGCCCGGATCATTCAACCTGCTCTCGATCGAGCCAGCCTGAATCACGTCGATGGTAACTCCAGCCTGCTGCACAGGACAACCACAAGGCCCTGCGGTGAAGCTTCCGGTAATTCCTGATGCGCACCCGGCCTTCATTCGCTGCGTGCTTTGCCTCGTGCTCGGTGCCTCACGCAGAGATTACGTCGGCGAGGGACTTTTTGCGCAGGACAACAGGCCTTCAGCACCATCACGAGACCAGCGACCATAGGGTTGCTGCACCCAGCTGTCGCTCCAGCCTGCTGCACAGGACACCAGGATGCTGTATGGAGCGCCGCACATCGAATCAGCATGAGGCAGCACGGCCTCCGTGCCAACCCTGCCAATGATTTGGCATTGCTACCAAGAGGAATGTCTTTGGCTACAGTGTATTTGAGCCTGGCAGCATTCCGACAAGTTGAGATGCCCAAGTATCGGCAGAGCTCAAGCACATGCAAACTCGTATCTACACTGCCCGCATCCACTACCTCAGAAAGGATCCGAGCGTCGCCTGCAATGTCTGAGGGGCCTGGTTGTTTGAGTATGTAACGCCCTTATTCCGAAAATACACAAGACCAGCGTAAACCACGTGCTACGTCGTGACAATCCGAGCACGGCAGAAATTCAAGCAACTCACGAGAGTAGCCGGCCTACGATCTTGGAAGGACACGGTGGAATGCCAAAGTAGGATCTGACCTGCCGAGCAGAAGGCAGGTTGCCTAGAGGTCGGCATGTTCCTAAAATTCAAGCTGACAGCGGAGGTTTCGAGCTTCGGTCTTGCCATGTCTTGCCTAGGAGTCTGGGCATGGGGTCAGATGCTGGAACCTTCGACCTCCTCCTCCTCCTCTCTTCTTCCGTGCCTTCGCTGATTCACCAGCATCAACTCAAGCACCAGCCCCCCGCCCCAGGCAGGTGAGTCAACCTCCGTGACTACAACCACACCACATCACATCATCACATCACATTACATCACCTTCAATAACAAAACATAACACAGCACTTCAACACTAAGAAAGTTTTGACACAGTTCAAGCGGCCACCCCATGATAAGGAAACCCTGGCTGCACAGCACATCTTCAGGCTGACTTCCATGATTCAGACATTTCGCTGGGTCGTTGTGAAGGCCAGCTCCGGTGAAAACGAGACCTGTCCCGTCAAACGTGCTGAGTTCGGCTGGCACAATGCAGACAGAGCTCCAGAATCTCATCCGCAAGTACGACGACAAGTTGTTATTGCCGTTTATGCAAGACAAAACTGGATGGATCTGTCTGCAAACTTCAAAACACACCCTGACAGGCTCACTGCGGCTAACTGGAACCTTGGACCGAAGTCATGAAAGGCGAGCAGTTTTCAAGATCACGGCGAGGGTTCGCAGCACATGGACAATACTGGCGGCCGTTGTCATTCCTACAATATCCTACAATCCCACCAACTGCAGCATTCAGGGTTTCTGCACTGAGCACAATCAACTCTTGGATTGAAAGCTGTTGTGGAATTGGCGGCCACTTTTATGTCTCATGCCCGGTCCAGTGGGCTATGGTGAGACTGAACTGCCCGGAGCTTGTTGGGTCAGCCGAGTTGTGGGCATGACAACTGCATGGCCAAACGCTTCTGGCAACCTGCTTTCTACTGTAGTCCAGGAGGCCCGACCCTTGTCTGAGCTCCGGCGGCACTGCGGTCTCCTTTGAGGAGCCCACATGTCCTAAACCTACCGGCCCAGCGACCCGAAAGAAGACACCGAAGGCCAACACTGAAACGCAGGCTTAGCCGAACAGAAACTGCACACCGCCGCATTGTGAGCGGCTGAGCCTCCGACTCCCCACCTCCATCACTGGCTCGACTGCTAAGCCGGTGCCACGACTTCAGTGGTGAGCTGCGCGCCCATCCAGGCGAGGCCCTCATCCGCACCTGGACCAAGGCATCTTCGGACAGAGCCGTGGGCTTTGCACATCCCCTGCTAAAGCCAAAACGTACACGGCAAGGCGGTGGCTCCCGCCGGAAATGGCTAAGCGACAGAAACTGGTTCGGCCCGCATGGAACAAGTGTGTGGAAGTTCGCATCTGAAGGGAAGAGCTTGCTGAGTGCAAAGGGTCGTGAATTAGCGCATACCAACTCCAAACTTCGAAGGCGGAAAAACAGTACTTCGCTTGAAATCTCCCGTCCATCCTGGAAGCTGGCGGAGCGCTTCCATGTCGTCGAGAGGCACCTGCTCTATGAGACTGACATGCTACGATAACAGACCCATCAGCCCAAACCCAAGGAGTGGTGGCTGCGGGCTCAGAGGCTGCATGCACAGCAAGCCCATCAGCAATTCCGGCGTGCTTCTGAAAGTATGACATGGCAGTGGCGGCGGCCTTTGCAGCAACAGACACAAACATCGTGGCAAGCCAGTAGCAGCAGACCCCAATTGTCCATCAAACCCTCTCCCTCTCGAATGCCGAAATCCTACCCCGCTGCTGCGAGGTCGCCTCCTGGCCATCGCGCAGCCAAAAGCCGCGGCCACTCTTCTCCACACCTCCGCCGTGTTTTAGTGAAGAGGTTGTCTCGCCGAGTTTCCTGATTGGCTCGATCCTGCTGCATCCACGTACGGCTACGGATGGTGGTCATCTTTCGTCCGGGAAGAATCATCTTGATAGGATTTCAATCGACGAATCAGAACGGCTTGGTGGATTCTGGCTCGTAGCAGCGTGAGTTGCAGAATCCCTCTACGACCTGTTCATCTCCCTGGCGGCAAGAGGTATTTTCGAACCAACACAGCAAATGCCTTGCGTCGAGTCTGTTCAGGTCCTCCCCTAGCGCGTCGGATGCTCAGGATCTGGCGTAGCGACGAGTCCGTCGACTGCAGCAGCACGCTGCCATCCTCGGAGAAGGAGCCAGACAAGACTCTGTATGTTCCGCCGCGACTACGACGACGGCAAAGGAGCACGCGGAGGGGAAAATCGGATTAATCTGCATGGTACACTAGGCACTGCGGTGTTGATGCAGCTTTGCAGCTGCTGCTGCTGCAGATGCAGAATTGTGGAATTTGATGCTGATGCTAATGGTAATAATTTTGATGATGACGACAACGCCGGCGAAGACGACGATGACGACGATGGCGACTGCCAGCAGTGCCGGTGGCACCGACGGCGGTGGCTACAGGGAGCGACTGCGACGGCGCCGACACCGACAACAAACGACGAGGGCACGACGAAACAATGCTGTCTGAGGACGGATAGTGAGGGGGAGGGGTGGGGAGGACGAGCAGGAGGAGGAGGAGGAGGAGGAGGAGGAGGAGGAGGAGGAGGAGGGCGAGGACGATGTTGTGATGCTGATGATGATGTGATGACGACGACCTTGACGACGACGACGACTGATGACGATGAAGGTGACAATAAGGTTAAGGCTGAGGACGGATAGTGAGGGGGAGGGGTGGGGAGGACGAGCAGGAGGAGGAGGAGGAGGAGGAGGAGGAGGAGGAGGAGGAGGAGGAGGACGGCGAGGACGATGTTGTGATGCTGATGATGATGTGATGACGACGACCTTGACGATGACGACGACTGATGACGATGAAGGTGACAATAAGGTTAAGGAGCACCAAGGCTCAAAGTGCCAAATTGTATTAACTTGTAAGGCCCAGGGCCGGCGCGGACATCTTTGAAGTCACCGCCACGCGGAGGGAATGCCTCGAGCCATGAGACAGGCGCGGGGATCCGAGGGTTTTTGGCCTTGGCCGGTGACCGTCGTTGATTTTCTAAGAGTGTGGGGTATCAACCTGAGCAGCCGTTGGAGAACCCGACGCGCGTCGAGCATAGGCCGAAGCTTCTAAGGTTTGTTCGTGGGCGTGTGATGCAAACGGTTCTTTGCAGCGCTCGACTTCGCGAGATCGATCCCAACACAGACGCCTGCCACTGTACAACCGACAGAAACTGCCCTCAAAAGCCGCTGGGCAGGGCCTCAGCTGATTCTCCTCGAAGACCACATTCTCTACCTGTGCATGGCTGGAGTGCAGGAGCCATCAGCCGAAAGCCCTGATTTCCTCGACACACCCTTCTCTGCTCTGCAGCCAGGTCAAGTTGTCTCTTCTCGTATGTACTGGCTCTGTTCACGACTTGATCCGCTCGCCTGCTAGTAGATGGGACATATGACATATGACTCTAAGCTGGACCCCACTCGCCCGGGACTGTCAGCAAGGTCGGATGCTGAACGAGCCGCTGTAGAGACGACTGAAACCCAAGACTCCACTGTGCCTGGCGCAGTTCCTGCAAACTGAGCATCGGGAACTGCCACAGGGGCCGCCTCGGAAACAAGGGCCGGGCTTCATCACAACCACGGTGAGCGGAGTACATGACTTTGGCCACCCCTGGCATCAGGCGGGCAAAGCCAGCATTCAACACCAGCAAGCTTGTTCAAGACATTCAAAAGGTGGGAAGCTTTCGAACCCCAACTAGCGTGGCAGGACCTATCAGTTGCTTTAGGGAGCCTGGCCCAAGGTCCTACTTCGCTGCACAGATAGACTCGGCCCCCGGGCAGAGTCACGGCCGCTGCTGCCGCGGCCACGGCCGCTGGGGGCGCAGCCACTTCCCCGGCAGGGCCCAAGGCCAGGCTCCTGCGAAGTCGAAGTGAGAGAACCGGGGCTTTCGAGCGTTGATGACTGATAAGCCTCGAATACATTGCGCACACAGCTCTCTGGGAAAATCGAGCCTTTGATGTGTTGTGCAGTGGAGGGGTTGACGGCTCCGGGTTCGAGATTCGGGGTTTGGGGTATTGGCACTGCCACGCCAAGCACCATTCATGCCAGGCACACTTGCATTTGTGCATCGTTGACATTAGCCTTGACGTGGCCGCTACTGCCCGGCCGATTGATTCCCGGGCTGGCTGCGTGAGCCCATGCCAATGCGACGCAGAGGTCGTTGGCAATGCTGTTGACCATTTGTTCTGGACTTTGTGAATTGCGACCCGCACGCCAGAACCCAGGAAAAAAGAGTCTTCATCTCAAGTGTGCAATGCTTTACTGCGCCTCTTCGGTGTCTACAACTGCTCAAGTGAAAGTGGCCTACCATTCCTGAGGCCGAAGGATCTCCGCTCTGAACCCCTCTGGTGTCCGGGTCGGCGCGAAAGCCATGGCGGCGAGCAGGCAGAACAGAGCCTCTGGCAGGACTCTCATAATTCTGGACACAGTGCTTGGCTCCGGAGCCTCGAGACAGCCACTAAGGATTACAACCGCAGGACTGCAAACTGAACATGAAAAAGGGGTGCACGGGCTGAGAGCGAGGCAAGCCCTACCATAAAGGCCACAGTGACCTGGCCTGGGTTGCAAGGGTATCTGGTGCACTTCGAGACCAAAGCTCCTGAACTCGAAACACCGAGACAGTCGCAGAGGCATCGTGGTAGGATCTCGCGCCATGGGCGGCCCTGCAGCACCTTTGCTCGGCACGTGCAGGAAGCACACGAATGTACCGGGCTACCAGAAAGTACATGGTGCAGAAGACACTCGACTCGCCAAAAACATGAAGCCCCAATCAACCCACACCTGAACCCTCCGCGAAGCCCCCGAAAGCGGGACAAAAAACAAGCAAGACAGTTTTTGAAGGCCTGTGACAGCGTGGAGGAGTGCTTGAGCTGGTATCGCACCAAAGCTCCCAACACCTGCGAGTAGCAAGCGTTCATCCCGCGATCCGCAAAATATCGAAAAGCTCAAAAACCACCCTTGCGGCAATGCTTCAGCCCGTCACTGCTGATTCTGTCGATGATTTGGCCCAGACTCCAAGTCTGCGACACTTCTTCACGTCAGACACCAACCCAGAGCCGCTACAGACTTAAAACGCAGGCGGCGAGACTGCAAACTGATGCCGCCTTTTGTTGAAACGGCTCCAGCTGATTAAGAAAAGGGCTTTGGTCGACAGTGGCGACCTCCAAATGACAGCCGAGTTCCGGGGTCTCCAAGTTGTCTCTTGCTTCACACATCAGTTCTCTGCTACGGGGGCCTCTTTGAAACAGCGACTGTTGGAATTTAGCAGCAGCCAAGGAAGGCTAGTTTCGTATCATTACCGTTCAACAGGTAACGTTTTCCAAGCAGCGGTTACTATTCTTACTTTCCTGCTCATTATTTAAAGCACTATTGTGTTGCTGGGTGACCATGATTTTTCTCGGTATTGCTAGTGTTGCTATCATCGCCATCATCGATATGTAAGTATTTAGGCTGGCTTCCGGACATCACCAACGTGCACAGCGTGACATCAAACTGAGACCTGTGCCGAAGTGCCTTGTTGTTGCTATCTGTTTTGCAGAGAATGACGAGGATGCCAGACCGCGTCGCAATGGACGAACTACATCTGACGGCCCCAGAATCGCCGCAAAAGGGGCGGTCTGCAAGCACGATTCAGCTCGAGCAGTTGGCAAACCTAAGATTCCGAAGTTGCAACACTTCCAACTTACCAACTATGCCCTAAATCCAAACAGCAGAACCAGTCAGATATGAGGCATCTGCCACTAGAAAGCGCTAAGTGTTTTTGGAGGGCTCCTGCTTCAGGGAATCTTTCGGCTTCCCCATGATTCCGCTTTTAGGAATCCTCACCAAGGCAAGGCCCTCCTCAACTCACCCTGTTTTGCCAGCTCGCCCATGATCATGCATTCTCATGGGGCACGGGGCACAGGGCCAGTGGAAAGCATTGAAACCTTGAAAGTGTTTCGCTTGCAGGCAGGACATAAGAACTCTTCATAAGCGAATGCGTTGCCTTCGACATCATCTAGGTTTCAATGCGGGGCTGATACGGACAGAACTAGGTACTGCTCACATACCGCTATGACCAGTTACGTTGTTTCTCACGGTGCATTCGTTCCGGATCTGAGCGTCTTTTCAGCCCCGATCGCGGCCGAGCGGATGCAGAGGAGGAGGCCCCTGGGCCAGACAGAACGCGGATGGGGTCCAGGTTTTTTCTGGTAGTCTTTATTGTCTTTTCCGTGGATTTGTTTTTATGGTTTTCGCTGCCAAGATTGTAGAAAACCTGTAAGAATCACAAATAGAGGCCCAATTTTGGTTTTTTGGTGTATTTTTTATGGTTTTCCTAGCTTGGTCTAATATAAGAGTTATCTACTTGACTTGTTACGACCAATCGCAAATGGCCAAATAGCATTCTTGATGGTACGACGTTCGTTAAAGCACGTTCACAACAATGCTTAAAAAAGCCGGGGGGTCGGGGGGGACGCAGCCCCCCCCCCTTTGCAAACGCAATTGCAAGAGGACGGCCGGTTCATCCATTTGGCGATTCCGGTTCACCAGAGATTATGCCATGCCCCCTATGTTATCCCCCTTGCTTGGATGGCTCAACCCTTCGACCCGGGTTTGGAAGGATTTCAGCCGGCGGGAATCCTAGGAACCTAGGTTTCGGGTCGGTTCCGGGAAATGGTTAGGGCCAAGGATTTCAGCCGGCTGAAATCCTTGGCCTGGTTACGAAAAATCCCCGAGGTTACCCTGGTGCCGGTTTTCCCCGGTCTCCCGGTAATCCTTTAAGGGACAACAACGCATCACCTCGTCACCCATTTTTCTTCCTCTCTCTCTCTCTCTCTCTGTCTCTCTGCCTCTCTCTGTCTCTCTCTGTCTCTCTGTCTCTCTCTCTCTCTCTCTCTTCCGCAGGGCTCTCTCTCTCTCTCTCTGTCTCTCTCTCTTTCTTTCTTTCTGTCTGCTGGGCTTAGGGGTCCCGTAAGACCCTCAGGCTTTCAGCCCGCCCAACCCTCCCACTGTGTTAGTGAGCGGTTGGCATTGGGGTCATTCCAGAGCACGGCAGAGGACTACCAAATATGCCCCAGGTTTACAAGTAGAGAGCCCCCCCGAACACTAAACGCCGAAACAACCCCCGCCTCGTCACCGCGCCCCTATGGCAAGTATCCTTAGCCTTTAGCAGGTTCGAGGGGGCATAAAAAGGCCGGTTAATTGTCGCTCCCCCTGCTCTCACACAGCAAGGAGAGGGTGCGAATTATTTGTAACAGGGCGGATCAGACGTCGTCGCAAGGACGGAAATGCAGTGAATTTGTGAAATGCGGAAAGAGGCTGCCAGTCGGGCAGTTTGGCAAAAGTGGGACTTATGGTACAAAAAGTCGTGCTAGCATGCATCCGGGCAGTCTAGAAAAGGAGAAATCCCCCACCCATTTAGGCAAGGTACACGCAGCTCAGTTGCAAAAAAGGGGAGGGATGCCACAACTGCAACCAGAAAACAACAGCAACCATGCACTCGACTCTCCTCTCCCCTCTGGCTCCTGGGCTTGCTTTAGGTGCTGTAAACGGAAAAAGCCACGCTCACTTTTGCTTCACTCAGTCGGTTGCTCGTCCCCTTCTCGCCATGTGGTCTTGAACTTGCTGGATCTGCCATTGAATATTTGGCACCAGCTCCACGGGTCGTCCCCTCCTTGTTGGAGGCTCTTCTCCAGGTTCGCGAGGTTGGCGGTGTATTTCTGGCTGCCCCCTCCGTGTTGGAGGCTCCCCCTCGGGCTCATTTGGCCGGTCATCAAGAAGGCGGCGGCGTTTGGGCTCCCCCGCGTCTTGGTTGCGCGGCTCCCCCATGGGTTCATTGGGCCGGCGTGCGGCCCGCTGAGAAATGTCGCAGAGATCAGCGCTCATACACACACTGGACTCCAGATCACACCAGCCCATCCAGCATGGATCACGTAGAGAACCTAGTCCTCAGCCGCGGGTTCCGCGCCCGCCGAAGCAGCCTCAGGCCGATCGAGGGTGTTCAAGTCGCCGATCTTCAAGCGTTTGCGGTCGGCCCTCTCGCTGTCCCGGTCTTGGAGCCGCGTCGTCAACGCGACTTGATGCTTCTGGATCAGACCCTCCACGCCATTCTGCCAATCAGTCTGCGAGGCAATGATAAAGCAAAGCAAAGGACTCCGGCAGCTGCAGGTGGCGCGCTGGTAGCGGTGTCGACGTACATGTTCTTGCCCACGGCCGTATTGGTAGCGGTGAAGGTGATGCCCTGCAGGTTGGGGTCCAGAGTGACACTGCCAGGAACCGCGTCTGCGCCAACCAGACCAGTCCACTTCCAGATCAGGAACGTTGCAAACTGACTCTGCGCTGCAGTTCCTGTAGCTTGAGCCGCTTCGAGTGCAACTGCAAGCTTCGCTTGCCCGCCCAGTCTGCCGGCCATAATTCGCATAACTGACTCGTCGCCAATTCATGAAGGGCCGATCCGGCGGAGCGAGGCAGCTCCGATGGCCCCCGGAAAAAGGTCCGGAAACTGCGAAAGAAGAGACCTGGTAATCTTCAGCACGTAGCGGGCCGGATCAATGTTAAGTCGATAGTAGTCCGCCAGGCCGAGATTAGTGGCCCATGTGGGCCGCCAAACCAACTGCTCGCATGCGCGCCACTAAGTTCGTAACCAGAGTGCTGAGACCGTTGCTGTCAAACAACTCCAAGCCGGCAAGCGCCCAGCGAAGATCAGCGGTGCCGGACGGGAACAGGGACTCCTCAGAGAATCTGTCCACCATTCGAACATCTAACTTGACGGCTGGTGGGAATCGGAACATCAAGGAATTCACTGCCAGGGCAGTTTGCAGTCCAGCAGGGGAGCCAAGGTTGTCTGCGACGGTGACAGCGGTAGCCGGCGTGCGGAACCTCGGGATGTACAGATGCACAAGGGCTTTCTGATCAAGCAGGCCAACGATGTAGGAAGCGATAATCACCGCGTCGGACTGCTTCCCACGCCGCTCTTTCATCGACCCAGCCTGCCCTAAATCTTTGACTCCCAGAAGGGTGGACATGCGCCTCGCAAGCGCAAATGCGCCTTGGCCTCCATCGGTTGGTGAGGCTTCTGCTCCGCCTTGCGTGAACCATGTGTGTGTGGCTTGCGCCAAGACTGCGTGTACACGGTCAATGCTCGGAGCATCCCCACGTTGTATGAACTCCCGGATTGCGTTGGGCTGCATAACTGCGGCATCCACACCGAGGTCGTTCATGTTGAGGTCAGCCATGGCTGCTTCCAAGGAGCGCACACGCAACGGAGTCTTGCCAAGTCCCATGAGGAGACCCCAGATGCGGGTCACCGACAGGCGCATCAAGGCATCATCAGGAAGGCCTGGGAGCACGAAGTTCCCCATCGGGAAGTTGCCTTGGTTGGCAGCTTCGCTCAAGCCTTTCAATATCGCCACATCGCCATACGCCAGGCCCACGGCGCGGCCTAACATGACCGCAGCGTGCGCGGTGTAGTTGTCAGCCGTGAGCGCCATGTTTCCGGCCGCTTGGGGGATCACACTGTTGGGATCCCAAGGCGCCGGGCCTCCCTCAGCTGCCAAGGCAACTGCTCCAGCGCCACCATTCCAGGCCTCGGCAGAGAAGTTCCTGAGCTGATTGCACACATGCGTGGGGAGGAAGGCGAACGCAGATTGGCCTACCTCGAAGAGCGAATCCTGCGAGGTGTTGGTTTGGCCAGCGCGGGATTGAACATCTGCGAGAAGCGCGGCTGCCTGGGCGTCTGCGCCGAAATCGGCTGCATCGGCATCCCAGTTCGGGCCCTGACCAGATAGGTAGTTCCCGATGTCTGCGGCGCCAGCTGGATTGCCTGCAGCGCCGGCTGCTGCACCAGGGGCTGCATTAGGAGGACGCCCACCGCCATACCCGCCGCCGCCAGCGCCACCTCCACGACCGAAGAATCCAA